TGTTACTAAAGAATTTCCTTTTCACTTATGAAGAAAGTTATTTCAGTGAACTTGCTAATCATACATGTCTTTGTGTAATTGATCATTTGTAGCATTTAAATATGCATATTGACGAACGCTCGTTCACCCTGCCTGCCATCGAAGTAGAAGTAGGTCGGCTCTAAATTGAACTGAAGTTGGCCAGGCACGTCGCTAAGTTGTTCTTCGGCCTCGCGTGGAAGTTCCTGTCGGCGATGTCACGTATCGATTGAAAGCTTGCCAATGTTTCGCAACTTTTCTCTTTAACCAAAGGTGGCTCTTGAACTTGAAATAAACAACGTGACTAAGAATATATGCAGTGGCTATATTTCAGTTTCTTTTCTTTTCAAAACTATTCTCTCAATAATAATTATTACAAATCATAGAATCGATACTGATCATATTTAAGAGGCTTTACTTCCATATCTCCTACTTAACTCCATTCAAAACTGAAATCAGTCTTAGTACTACCTATCCACTCATAACTTTATAAATAGTAATTGAATTTCGACCTTCTCACGCTGGTTTGGTTGTACCTCTTGAACAACCAAATCGGTATTCCTCAAATGGCGAGGTAGGAGGTAAAAGAGAAAAAACAAGTTGATAAAAATAAATTTATATTCTCCTGCAAATCGGGACATTCGGAAACGCATATAAAGTCCTCTCTCATGCGAATTTTTCAATTTCCATACGACCCAGAAACCAAATCCCCTACAATACGGTAAAGATACTTGTAGATTAGCACCATAAATATCAAACCTATTAGAAAATAACAAATTTAGACCTTAGAACATAGGAAAGCGGACCTCTTTTTGTAGCCCAAATTAATTTGAAAAATAAAAAAATTAAATGCTTTGTTTTTATTTTATTGTGTGCATTAAATGTAAGTTAATGCCATATATTGACTAGATGGTCAAATTGAGATATTCATAAAATTCAAATCCTGCTAATCCTATGTATATTTTTTAAATGAAAAAATAAAGGATAATCGATTTTATTTAATTTTTTATGATTTTCTCGAAAAATGCTATAATAAACGACTTTGATTCAACTTGTTATATCAACATAAAATTGAATAGGTTGTTCTTACTACCTCTCATGATAAATAATAACATAAAATGGCTAAATTTAAATTCTGAATTTTTTTTTATGATTAACAACAGGAGAAATATTATATTGTACATATATTTTCTTAAGTTGGAAACAAATTTCCAGAAATAAAGCAGTAATGTATAGTATATTTTGATGAAAATTTATGATTAATAGTTTTTTAAAACTAATATTAAATGAAAACTATAAATGTTTTCATGGATAATTAATGAATGTTCTAAACTAAGTGAAAAATTTTACAATTATTTCTAAGCTCAAAAAACTAAAAAGTAATGCATTGAATGGTCATTCGGGTATTGTTTAAAAATTATTTCATTGTTCTGTTGTTAGAGAAGCCGTTAAGAATTACATGTTATGCAAAATATTTCAAGTTTTTTTAAGGGGTTTAGAAAAAGGAAAATGATACTAATCTTTAAGAATTAAATGTTAAATAGTCCTAATTGAGCAGAAATTTAATTAATTAAGTAGGATGGTAAGTGAAAGTGTGTGATGCATATGCCACATTAGGTATTTAAAAAAAAAACTTTTATAAGCACTTATAATATGGCATAATGCCTTACTTTATTTCTTTAAATAAAAATGTTGAACGATCGCTAAAAGGGATCGCATGGTGCTATCAGTGAAGGGATCAGATTGCTTTTTAAAGGCTAGAAAGGATGGGGGCATGTTTAATCCCAAGGGACTCAGCCAAGGCATGGGCCCTGTTTGGTCCCGCGGTACCCTGCCAAGGCTAATGTGATTGAACTAGGGTCAGTTTATCTCGGCAGTCAACAATGGGCCAACTACTTGTGAATGCTAGGGAGTTTCTGATCACTTGTCATTTGATAGGAAAACAGAGAAAGAGGCACATAGATCTGTTTAGAAAAAAATAAAATTAACTGTTTGAGAAATGTACACTTAGTCAAATAAAAAAGACTAATATACCTCAGTGAGATCTCTCACATTAGAAGGCTACCCCTCTCCGTAATGCATTCCGTGTATAAGCAACATTAGCGAAATATGTTTATTCATATGTACAATCACAGGCGGATCTACAGGGAAGAGGGAGGCCTTTCGGGCTGAAGCATCTTCCCCCCCTCTCCCAAAATGGTAAAATATAACCATGTTTTATGAAAAACATTATCTCTAAAAGTATTATTGTTCATCTAATTACATTTAATAGGTCTTCATGAATCACTTAAACACAATTTCATATAGGTAGTTTGTTTCTTTCTTTCTTCCGAAGTAATTATCCTAATATATATACATACAAAAAAAAAAAATATTTCGAGCTGAAATTCTAGAAATGTTAATGTGTGCAATATAATATGATCAAAATAGTCTGTTCAACAAATTTAAACTTAGGTAGTGAATAGCTTGTCGTATTGAAATATTTTTCTCCAATTTAATAACTAAGCAATAAGCCGTGAACTTATAGTAATCCATTATTGTAATCACTTAAGACCTATTTATTTGGTGGAGAGTCGTGGTTTATAGTTCTCTCACTAAGAGTATAGCAGAAGTCTATTACTGAGAGTATATAGAGGCCTGGATTTGTTTTGTTTTTTATTTATTAAATATATCAAATAGTTTCTTTATATATTACCCGAAGTATCCAAGGGATCATAGAGCATTCCCTTCCATCTACATTAAAATATATTTTTAGTTCGTTAACAATATAAAAAAAAATGATATTCTATATTTTAAATAGAAGATGCATTCAGCAAATATTAAGATTTATCTGAAAAAAGCTATATTTTTGGGCTCTAAAATGTAGGGCTCGATAGTTCCTTTAGAAGTATACTCACCGTATTGAAATCTTTAACACAACTTTAACCCCTAATGAATTGCGCAATACGTTTCGTAATCAGAATCTCAAGAGATCCGCATATTGCCCAGTATTACATTGAGTTGAAGTGGCTCTATTCATCCTGTCGTCATCAGTACTTCCTAGCTACCTTTCTGCACCAGATCATTAGAACACATTGACTCTCTTGTATTTTTCGCTGCTTACAATTGAAATACTCCATCCAATCTCGTCACACTAGATCTTGTATTTCCGACCTCTATCCTCCTCACCGAACTGCTGTGTTTGACAAATTCATCGCAATTCAATCTGTCTCCCTCTGGAATTCCATCTTTGCTGATATTTGACCCACACAGTCAGTTTCCTCTTTCAAACCTCTCCTCTTTAAATACCTACTCCATTCTCAATCCGACTGACTACAAAATATACCTAAAAGAACTATTTAAGTACCCCAAGACTATTTCTGTTATTTTAGTTTCCTTTGTTTGTTTTATATATGTACACTTTTTTTTCTTTTTCTCTCTCTTCTGTATTTTTAATTTTAATTAACTAGTAATGTAAATATTTAATTTATTTATGACCATACAGATATGCATTTTGTTCTTGTAATTTGTTCTAAAGGGGCAGACAGAATAATAAAATATATTTTCATTTCAATTTATTTTAGAACAATTCATTCATTTTGAAACCATCTGAGTTTTGAATCCTTCAAATTTGTTTAATGACTTTTACTACTTCCTCCTCCTAAGCATTACATCTCTTGGCTTCTTCAATGGGCCTTCACCATGTTAGTTTATCTTTTGCAGAACCTTACCTAAAGCAGCAAGGACTTACGGGTGCTGAGCAGTTCATCCAGATGAAACTCGCTACTGCAACCTGCTATATTAATCGTGATCTCCCATCCAGGAACTTGTTTGGAATCGCCCATACTGGCATTGGTGCAATATGTTCAGCATAACATAATCTGCCCAACTTTCTGTACGTCATCATATCTGCCTCTCCAAAGAGCCCAGAACACTCTGCATTTGTCCTCTTTCTTCGATTGTTACCATCTTTGACTGGTCCAAATTGTGTCAAAGGATTTTCCTCCCAGAAACAAAAAGATATCCTCTTCCTCCTAGCTTGTGAAAAACCAGGTCTCCGTGTCAAAGATTAGGACAGACCTGATGCGGGTCCTATACAACTGACCAAAATAATTATTATTGATATTGATGAGTCATCTACTGATTTTTACAAAAAAATTATTTAAAGAGGTGATCATTGACCTTATATAACTTTAAGCGATAAAAAAAACTAGGCTTAGTTTGGAATTAGGCATCATATTTGTTAATAATTATTTACTTCGCTAAGTGATGTGATAACTATATTTTTTTCATTCCTGTGGCATATCATCATATGGTTCGAACGTAGCCTAAATTAATTTTAGATGAAAATGAGATATGTAGCGCATTCATTGATTCACACATAAAATATGCATCATATCATTCCACCAGGGCCGTAGAGAGAAACCAAGGGCCTCAGGGATTATTTCCCCGGTTACCATCAAATATTAAATTTACCACTTATACACAACTGAAGCCTTTTATAAATTATGCAACAAAAATATTATATTAAGATACCATTGTTATATAATAAGTGTAACATTATCTGTACTATGTTTTAATGTTAAATTAAAATATATAAATAAAACCTTGTAAGTCAGGCCGGGCTCCGGGGTTCGACTCCCTCCCATTGTGCCATGAAAAATATGTTTAACATTTTTTTATTGTGATTAAAATAATTAATATAATAATAATAATCATAATCCTTATTTTATAATAATTATTATAAATAATTAATTATTTTATATCACTTATAAATAATTAATATTAATTTTATTTGAATTATCCCCACATATATTATTACAGTAAGGCTCGAAATCGGTTTTGTACCAAATATAAGCTCCTGTCATGCTCAAATACCCTGAATGGGGTACCATTGGATTCAGAATTTCACGGGGGGTTAGCGAATCGTATTCTCCACTTTTGTTTTTCTTTCTAAAATAAATAAAGTCGATACAAACATTTTGCTAGGCTTCAATACTGAAATGGTGATAGGTCTGTAGATCAATACGGGACAAATTGGATCTTGAAGATTTTGATGCGTACAGCAAGACCCAAATAGTTCCTCCGGAACTATCGGATCCTGCGTTTTTAAGCCCAAAAACGTACTATTTTCGAGATAATGCAAGGCATAGGGTTCGCATCCATACAGCCTTACATTAATTGTGGTACTGTCATTGAATAAATGTCTCATTTCGTCGACTTGAGGCCTCTATGATCGAGAGAGGAGGAGTTTATATTATTTATCGGTGGTGTTTTTGATCGGCTAGCCACATCGTTAATTTTTCACCAAATCTCAAGATTGAGCCACCAATTTCGAAGGTTTCCAGTCCTAATAGTCCAATCACCCCGAAAATTCAGGCAAACAAGTTATAAAAGAAAACAAACTTAAAATAACTAAAAAATTATTTTATTAATTTTATTTTTATTAATTATTTACACTTTTCCCTTGGTTATGCCCATGATTATATAAAACATTACTAAATCTCTTACAAAAGGAAAAAAAAAAAATCATCGAAATTGGACTGTTTTTAACAAAGATACAGCTTACTGAAATTTGTGAACATATTGGTTCCAAAGAAAAATGAAGATTTAAATTAATTTTTGTTTTCTTTGTCGATTATATGTATCGATAAAGTATCATTTGATTTCTTTATCTTTTGATAATACCTTACATTATTTTATTTTCTAATTAATTTGGCATTTGATAACAATATGCTGTGCGAATTTTTCGCACGGGCCTACTAGTTTATTAATAATATGATCTTTTTTTCTTCTTTGTATTGGGATACGCTTATTCAATTTACTTAGTTTTATGGATTTAAGAAATGTGAAAGTCGAAATTCTGTGCTTAAGGAAGTTAAAGCCTTGGGAAAGGTGGTGTTTAACCATGGTTTATAAATTTCAAGTTGAAATTTTAATCGTTTAATTGAAAAGATAATTTTTATTACTACTCTTCTGCCTTATTCTGAAGAATCCAAGATAGAGCTGTTAAAGAGTGGATTTATAATTACAAGACCAGACAATAATGATTAGCTGTCAGTAAAATAATTAAACTTAAGTAACTTAAAAATATTATTTTATTCCTACAGGTCGTGCTTCATCCGATCGTAAAGCCCGTGCATCCCAAGCACTGTGGGCAGCTTGTCAAGCCCTGGAAGCTGCGCTACGCGGCCCTACCGGCTGTGTTCCTCCTGTTGATGAGATCATGAAGCCGTTGGAAGATGAAGTCAGCCTCATTCTGAAGGCTGGTGGTGAGTAGATTTGTGCTTTTCTAACCTCGAGGGTTTTTTTTTTTTTTTTTTTCTGTTTGAGAAAACCTTTCATTGCTTTATTTCAATTTATTTTCATATATTCTATAATTTTAAACTTTAAAATTCTTATGTTAGCAGCAGTGTTTTGTTTAAGGAAATATTTCCATTATTTTTTCTGCATATATTTATATAAAATAAATAAATACAATTTTTTATTATTCAATAGATAGATAGAAAGAATGTTTATTGTTATTCAAAATAACATAATAATAAAGATTTTACAAATATTTAAAAAAAAAATACAAATTTTCTTTCTTAATCTCCCTTCTAACATTTTTTTCGTCGGTTCATTTTTTATGTTTTATAATACTAATTATTATTATTTTTCTGTTTTGTTTTTTAAGTTACAAATACATTACATAATAGTTTTAATTATACAAACAAAATTGAAAAACATATCTCTGAATAATAATTCCAACTGTTACTGAATGATAATAAAAAATAATAATAAAGTAATAACATTGTATTTGAATTTATATCATTCATATTTGATATATTATTTATAATTACGGCCAAGAAATAAATAAAAGAAAGTAATGTATAAAACGATAAATTCTATATTTATACATCGAGATCGGGGTTTAATAAATATGAAATATGTCGACTAAGTATTTTCTATACTTTAAGGCTTGTACTATATATTTATAAAGTGAGAACCAATTTTTACTGTTAAGGCGCTCTTATGAGATAGTGGTTTTTTGGTTTGGAAATTGTTGAAAGCCTTATATCTCTTAGGATCGGACAAACAGCAAGGAAATAGTAGGTTTTTTTTTTTTTTTGTTCTTCCCTACCTCGCTGTTTAGGCTATACGGGATTTTCCTGGGCCGGAGGGTGAGGGCGGGAAAATTAAAATCCCCTCTGGCACCGGGACGCGAACTCGTACTTTCCTTGTCTAGTTGCCGGGCAACTCGCGGTGCTGTGCACACACTTTAGCCCATTCGGCCACACCGCCCACTAGGAAAATAATAGGTGTCTTCAGGAGTATTCATATTCATATTCAAATTAAGTTCCCCTCTAGCTAGGAAAATAATCTTAACAAAACCTGGGCTTGCATCGTTTATTATATAATGATTAGATAAATTATGGTCTAGCTGGGCATAACCAGAAATGAAATTCTGCTTTTCTTGCTCTTAGCAAATCATCCTTATTATATTTTTCATTTATTTTATTACACAGCTCTTGAATGGTCTGTCTATACAGTTTAGGTGTATTTATAGTCAAATTAATCTCCAAAACTCATTCTAAGTTTATTAACTCTTTATACCTATATATATATTTTTTTTCTATTATCATTTTTGCTGTAAAGTTGTATCTCTCCAGGCCATGAAGGTTCAACACTGAATTTATATACCTGAGATGTGCAGTCATTTAAAACCTGTCTTAATGTAGAGTGTATAATTAGGAGTACCAACTGATAAATTAAGTAATTTTCCAATGAAATACCTATTGAATTTCTCTACTTCCTCCAAATATGCAAAGACCCAAACTCGGGTCGCATAGCTTACAATTGAATTGACAGCAGTATTATAAATGGACACTTTCTTTTCTAGAGGTATTTATTTTTTCATTATGATTCCACCCCGTATACTGTTCCATGCTTGCTTTGCATTTGATATCTTCTTGCTCATATGGCTCTTTAAGAAGAATGAGGATACAAGATGACACCTAAGTATTTATATTGAGACACGATTTCTATTTGTTCTTTCCGAAAAAAAACACTTTTCAAACTTGTTTGGCTTGCTCGGGCGCTTTTTACAGACCATCATTCTTGATTAGCTCATATTTACTTTTAATTTTTTTATCCTTGCATAACCAACGAAGGTCTTCCGAGGTACGATTATAGTAGTTGAAAACTTTTACCAGTACTAAATAGTTGACCATTGTATAATAAAGAAAAATACAGTCGGGGTGGTCACAAAAAAAATTTATAGTAGTATTTTGTTAAGCTTTCGTTTCAACCCAGCTATGTCTTCATAAGAGTTATGTAACTTCATAAGAGTAGTGTAGGAGTTACAAGATATGATAAAAAAATTAAGGAAATAATTAACAGTTTAAATTAAAAGTATTTATGATATTTCAATATATAACCAAGTAACTGTAATAGAGTAAATTAAAAATTGATAATAGTAAATTCAGATAAGGAAATACTGAATAAAAATAAGTGAGTGGTTGATTTACATAATATACAGAGACCCATGTCTTTTTAGTTTTGTGTTGTTTTCTTAAATTTGCTTATATTTCATCTCAATCATATGATGATTATCAAGGCCTAAAAATTAAATTATACAAAATTGATAATATTTTTCATCCTTATAATTTTATAAATTATGTTTTTATTCTATTTTTAATTTTTTTTTTTTATGGTAAGGTATTTTATAACTTACAGATACTAAATGTGTTATGTATATTGTTGGCAGCACCGGACGACGAGATGGTTGACGCTGTGGTAGCTTCAATACCTCAAGAGGCACGTTTACGAGGTGTCTACCCAGATTCAGTGCTGCGTAACAGGTTCCTGAATGTTGAACGGGTCGCTAAGCGGGTAGCTCTGTTACCAGATGGTGGTGCCTCTTTGCCCATCATGCTCCTATCCTATATACAATCTTTCTTCATCATCAATCCTGCCAATCCAATTCCACCTCATGAACTTGCTAACCAACCTGTCGAAGTGGGCAAGTTCAATACTTTCGAAATCCTACAACGAGCAAGGTATTTTTTTTTTTTTAAATTTTATAATTCTACTTTTTTCTTTATAAAAGATTTATTATAATTTAATGATGTAGAGATGGTTGACCATTATATAATATGAGAAGGAGTTAGTCGAGGGTGCGGTCAAATTAATACTAAATTAAATAAGTAGAATTATTTAATTTTTGCCGACATTTCGACCCACTTTGTTCATACTTATTTTCCATTTTTGTTTGTATCATCTACATATAATACTTGATATTTTAACTACTTTGTCATCCACTATATCTCTGATATCATCTTTTTGTTCTGTAACAGACAACTTATTCTTATTTTATATCTATTTATATTCATTTATTTTCACCATGTTTTGTATCTTTTGTAGCCCTGATGTAGAACTACAAACGTCGAAACGTCGGCAAAAATGAAATAATTCTAATTTAATTTAGTATTAATTTGACCCTCCCCCCTCCCCCCCGATCAACTCCTCATATTATAATTTAATGTTTGAACTTTTAATATTTGTATGGATGTGATTATTAAATGAATTATTGTATGTAGTAATTTTAAAAATAAAAAAAGGTTGCATGACAAATTTGTGTATGAAACTGTTGGAGATTAAATTAAAATCCCTTTAGAGAGATAGGAAAATTTAAGCTAAAATAGAGGTGTTGAATTTTAACTTAAAATGTGAGGAAAACTTTTATCTTGCAGAATACACTGCTATATTAAGGATTAAAATTGTTACATAAAAAAATTTAGTTTAGTAATAAATTTGTTATTGGAAATAAGTTTTGATGATTTCTTACTTATTGTAGTTTGTATCTTAGGAATTAATCTTGTTAATTTATTTTATTTGTATTGTACATTGCTGTTTTTATCATTATCACAATTTTTTTTCTAGGTATTGGGTAGATCGAGGCGATTTCGCTCAAGCTCTACGCTATATGTTGCTGCTCGAAGGTGCTCCTCATGTTGTTGCTAAGGATTGGATAAACGAGACAAGGATATTCCTGGAGACACAGCAAGCCGCAGTAGCTTTGATGGCCCATGCGTCTGCAGCAGGCCTCGCCTACTCGTAGTGCTCTTAATACGCACACTTCCCGAGTATCTCTCAGACTGGATATCTTCAGAAATATTTTACCGGGCAGCTTATCCTCCTTCCCTGTCATTACGTTACGAATCATCGGAAATACATTTATGTACCATTGACGATAGACTCAGTTTATTTAAAAAAAAAAAAAAAAGGTCTCTCTCAGGGGGGTGTTAATGGAATATATGTGTTAATGTCAATACTATTATTATTACTATGTAAATAGTTTGGAAACTTACGGTGTAAATTAAATTGTGAATTATGTCCGGTATTTATTTCATAGTCGTATATTAGTGGTGTAATTTAAAAAAAAATATTACTGCCTTGTTGCATTGTGATTATAGATTGTATATTTTTAACACCTCATTATCAATTTCTTTCAAAGAAAAGTTCCTGAATATCAAAATCAATCGAGGAAATTTTAATTTTCGAACTAATTGACTTAAAAAAAAATTCAAACAATTAAGCACTCTTTTTCCCCCTGTCTCTCCCTATTTGGAACTTATTGAATACTGTCAAAACTTAAATATTTATTCTTCAACTTAATTAGAAACTAATGAAATTATTAAGTATTTTCCAAACAGCTGTAATTATGTTGTCCTGTAATTTTAATTTTATTTCTCATTCGTATGTATATCAATTCACAAAGCTGTGTGAATAGATTTGTATTTAAAATTGTTTATTTTATTGTAGAAAGAATAAAAGTTCTTGTTACATACTGTTGAATATGGACACAATTTTTCCCAGAATTATTGCAATATTATGTTTCAATTAATAGAAAACAGGGATAATTTTAAGTATATACAAGCTTTATTCAAGACTTCTTAGAAAGACCAAGCCTGCTGATTGGGTAGTAATTAGTGTAATTTGAATATTGACCATTATTCTTTTTTTGTTCTGGACTTTGTCTGTTGATTTAAATGATTGATTATACATTATAAATATAAAATATAATCAATTATAAACGTGCATATTATCTAAGAGTCATATATTAGCAGTCCTTACTTGGATAACCAAATACAGGTTGGCCAACCAGGTTGATATTTGGGTGCAGGGCTTATTGTTAGATCGTGTATGGATTTGTTGGCCAGCTTGCATATCAACTTCAGTATCTACTGCATCTTTATTGAGCGCTATTCCTCGTTCCTCTGAAGTGTAGAGGTCTTTGTTGTCAACAAAATGTATACAATACTTAACACCTAAATTTGTAAAAATGTAACAGATCATTATCATTTATTTCCTCAGCTGCTCAGTCAGATGCCTTTAAAAATATAAATTAAAGAATAAGGGTTACAAGTTAAATAACATTGACATGTTCACTATAACAGTTCTTTTCAGAATTCCAGTGTAAAAAGCTGATAGTTTTCTCACAACTGATGTTGAAGTATAATGATGGCCAAGTTAAATAACCGCTATCCATACATGTTGGTTCGTGTTTGGACCATTTTACTTACTATAACCATTTAATGAAGAGAAGTTGGTTGGAGTTTTTAACAATGAAAGTATAAAGTAAAAATAAATATATTATATTTGTTTTTGTCTTTTGTGCCAAGGTTTCAGCCTAAGTTTCACACCTTCATCACGGCTAAGTAAAAACAAGATAACATATTAATGTTGAGAAAATAGTAGACAGTAATGTACCTTGATAATTTATTTTTCACTTTTATTTTTCTATCCGCATTTTTTAATTACATTTATTAACATCAGCAGATGTACTGGCTATATAATGAGAAGAACAAAAAAAATAAAAAAAATAGAGGCTTGATAACCATGAGGAAAAGCAGTACCCAGCGGTACCCCGTCCATGGCTTTAATTTATGTAAGTAGGTCTCTCATCCAGTCCATTTTTAATCGTCTTATGTTTTCTCTGGTATAAGAGTTATGGCCATTTCTTTTGTTAGCTGGTCGGATTGTCCTTTCAACTTATCGTAGAATCGTTTGCCTATACAACCATCTGTATTCTTTGACAGTCAGGATGCGTAACTGAGTGTGTAAGGTGTTCACGTTCCGTGCCACTAGGATAATTAATCATAGTATTTTAGACTGAAAAGTTTGAAGTTTTTTTATATGTGCGACTTTGCAATTCCGTATATTTGTAATCCGTAAGTTCAGAGAGGTTTTAATAGGTATTTAGGTATACAGGTAGGTAGTCTGTAAATATTTGATTTTTTTCTTGCTGTTAATTTGTAATGTCGTCTTAAGAATCAGTGCAATAATTTAAGTTATATATTTAAAGTGGCATGTCATTCTCCTATGAAATGTCAGACCTAGGTATACTGCCCGTTTGTTATCTAGTATACAGGAGGTCATGTTTCTAGTCTTATAGTAAACATGATATGTTGAAATTTTGATAGTTTATTTGTTTCTTTTGAAGTTTGCACCAGTCTTGTATTTTTTATAAGTGATATTGTAAGTTAGCTGCCTGTGTAGAATTTTAATCTCTAGTAATTACAGCAATGTCATCTGATAACGTTGCTGTAAGGCAGTGAGCACTTTGAGGAATGTCTGTGATGTACAGTAATAGGACTAGAATTGATCCTTGATGCACACCAGCTAAAATTGGTCAAATTGAAGATAGACCTGAACCATGTCGTACAGGGAAAAATCTGTCTGAGAGAAAAGAATGGAGAATTAGTAGGAGTGTTTTCTCATTAGTATGTAAGAGCATTTCCACTGAATTGGAAATATAGTGGTTCTGAGAATACAATTGAAGATTGTAGGCAGAAACACTAAAGCCTTCCTAGGCATTTAATGAAGCGCCTCAGGATTTATCAAGTCGTGTTCAAGTTTTTCTGTTCGGCAATTGATTAATTTCTTGTTCAGCTTGTGATGGTGTAAAAGATAGTGGTGGCAGTGTTAGCTCTAGAGGTATGTTTAAATTTTTTTTGGTTAAACGTTCTCATGTTCTGGGTTATTGAAGTCAATATGTGATTTAAAAATAGAGGAGAGAAAGTTAGCAAAGAGTTTCAGACTTTTCCTCGTCTGAAACAGCCCAGGAACCACCACTCTTCGAAGTGGTGCTCACGCCTCACGATGGTTTAAGTGATGGATCCTCGAACTTCCTCCGTCTCGAAAGGTTATTAATGAAATTGTCATAGTTTGTTCTTTTGAATTTGTCGTTTCAGTCTGTTAAAAATCTGTCTGTCCGAAGGAAGTCTATTAGTCAGTCATATTTTACAAGCTTTTCTCTCTTGATCAAGCCTCTAATGTACAAAGAATAGTGGTGCAAGTTGACTGTTTTTTGTGGCCTAGATGTTGATGATAACCATGCTACATCTTGTATACTTTTCTGAATTTTTCAACAGCCCTAGTTCCTCTTGATTTTTTATGGATACTGGAATAGTTCAAATGTCTCTATATGAGTCCAGTCCATGCAAATTTTTATGAGCTTAGATATTTTTTATGCCTCAGAATGCTTATGGAAGAGAATCACTGAGCAGTGATTAGAGCTTGTATGGACGGCAAATGATAAGGTACTTACTTCTTTAGTAATAGAGAAATAAAGACCAGAATTTCGCATCTAGAAATGGGGCTGTAAGTTGGCCATTTAGGAGTTATGGTGTCTAATGAAAGTTCATGAAGGGCAGACCAGAGATTTCTAGATTTTTACCTATTGAGTTATACAATCTAGAACCCCAGCCTTGATGATTGGCATTATAGTCACCACCTGTGATGAAACATTCTGAGTGTAAGCTTGTACCTTTATGGCATCAAAAAAGTTTCCATACAGTTGTTCTTTAACATTGTTAATAATTTATTAATTATATTCATCAAAAAGAGAAGTAGAGGTAAAGATGAATGAACCTGATAACAATTTCATGCTGGATCACTAATCCCGTAGTAGGAAGAGTTACAACCGTCCAAGAAAATAGGATAGAATCACAGGCGGATGGACTGGGGGAGGGAGGCTTTTGGCTGAAGCTCCCCTCAAAATGGTAAAATTTAACCATGTTTCATGTTAAAAAATATTAATAAAGTTTGTCTTAAAGTATTATTGCTCGTTTAATTACATTTAATAGGACTTCAAGTATCACTTAAACTCCATTTCATGTAGGTAGTATCTTTCTGTTTTTCCAAAGTAATTATCGTTATGTATATGAAAAAAAAAGCTTCCGGGCTAAAGCCCCCCCCAAAGTTAAATCCTGGATCCGCTAGTGGATGGAATTCATAGGAGGACTACTCGGAACCAGATTTCCCTAATCTCTATACAAGTGCAGCAATATCCTTAGCCATTGGGCTTGAAAGATATTAGGAGGTAAGCGTAAATCCAGAAGCTGTCGAGAATGTTCTGAAAAAGAAGATTTTAATGGATGAATTGCAAGAAAAATGCCAAACAAATAAGAAGAGGGTTTCCTTGGCAATGCAGTATGTCAATAAACCAGAAAGTTTCTGGAATTTTGTTATGTTCTCAGATAAATTCAAATTTCATCCTTTTTGTACCAGATGGCAGGTGTCCTATCTGGAGAAAGACAACAGAGAAGCATTCATTTTAAATGATTTGTGGTCGACCTTCAAACATGGAGGTGGAAATGTTATGGCATGAATGCTTCAGGAGTTGGAAATTTTGTTTTTATTGAAAGAATTATGGACCAGCGTGTATTCCTAATCATTTTATGGAATAATTTAAAAAGTTCTAATGAAAATTTTTTATTTTATTTTTTGGTTTATTATTTTCAACAATCAACCATTGTGATCGAGCAAAAAATTTAAAAACAAACCCCTCTCAAAATTTGAGGTTTTATTTTCAAGGGATACATAGAATTCGAAGAACAAATAAAATTTTTTTTGCCATCCGCCGTTCTATGTCCGCGCATTTTCTCCGAATTTACCGGCTGGGCAATGCCCTTTCTCATATCTATACATGTTGACTGATGTGCTGCACTAGATGTTTGTGTCCTCTGCATGTCCTGCAGCGATGTCTCTGGTTCTGTTTGGAAGGGGCGTTGCCTGATAAGCTGGAACTCTTGTAGACCAGGAGGTCCTTGAAATTACTTCATATCTGTAGGGTACTGGCCATTTCTTCAATTCCGTTGATCTCGTAAATTTTTCAACGTTTAAAACCCATGTGATTTGCCGGGTGCTGACTGTTACAATTTGCACAAGTAGCTGGCTTATCCTTAATGTTTGTGCATGAAATTCAGCGAATTGCAAGCACCTTGGATGGAGCTTACAATAAGATTTTAGTCTGTGGGCCAGACCCCCTTACCGTGCACCCCCCCCACATCCCTATAAATTGCATATCGTTGTGTTCCTTGTAACTATTTATTAAAAAAAAGCCAATGTTCCCACAAAAAAAAGTGAACGCACTGCTCCAAAATGGCGTCCAAAGATGGCGGATTGACGACTTTGACTTTAGTTAGTTTTTTGGTCACTGAGAATCAGGATTTGGCTTAATTTCCTCATAGTTGATCTTTTATTAAAGCTGAATAGTTATAGAATAATAAAACATGAAGAAATATTAAAAAATAATTGGCTTAGGCTATGAAAAACACTAGTAAAGTCAATTTTTTTAACAAAAAAATTTTCAAGTTACAAATCAAGCGTCGTTTGTAATTAAACGGCCTACAATAACGCAAAACGTGCTGAAATAAACCATATGGAGAATATAATACTCTTTCTAAAACGCTGATTATTTTTTACAAATGTTTAAGCAGTTCCGTAGAAAATGCACTTATGCGGCAGAAAAGCGGTACTGGCGTGGGTGCCTACAGGCCTCTACCACACCATTCAGTGCCCATAAATGGCTTAGTTATAGTGATATAATAACATTTTTGGTACATTATATTGGTTTAATTAACGAAAAAATATTATTGCAATAATTTAAATGTAAAAAAAAAAAAAATTAAATTTTTTAAAAAAAATTTATTATTATTTTTTTTTTTAATTTAACCTCCTTTATTCTGTACGTTGGTCGTTTAAGAAGACCTCAATTGTAAAAATGATATAATTATAATAATAAA